CATGATGTGACATTAAATGAGTGTCAAACAAAAAGTTATATCATGGATTGATTATATTTAATTAAGATATCAAATAATAAATCTATTAATATAATACATATATAAATATCAAATTAAATAAATAATTAAAAATATAATTTAATATATAATTAAGGCAAGATAAAACACCATTAATTTACTTCCAGCTTAACTTTGATTTTCGAAAAAAAACCTCCATTCAATCCCAAATAAAAAAATGCACCTATTGGATTCATATGAATCAAAACTAATTGGATACAATTTGTTTTGTTATCTATACCTCTATTAACATTTTTCTTAAAATTTTTTTATTGATTTCTTTTGTTGTAAATTATCTAATTAAAAAAATAAAAACAAAAAATACAAAAATACAAAATACGGTGTCATGTGCATACATTTGTTGGCTTTTTTACAAAAATTTATCTAATTCAAAAAATAAAAAATTAAATAAAGAAAAAATAAAAGGAAAAGATAAAAAAGCAAAAAAGAAAAAAAATAAAAAGAAAGAAAATTGAAATGCCACTTGACATTAACAATGATGAGTTTTCTTTACAAAATATATATTTACTTTTTGCTTTTTCCCTTTTTATATTTAATAAATTCTTTGTTATATTTTTTATTTTTTTATTGGACCAATTTGATATTATTGATTAAAAATATCATTTTTTTAATATCATTTTCTTGAATCCTAAAACTAAAAAAGGCCTGAAAAAAAGGAAAAAAAATCAAATTTAGATGTCATTTTGACACTTCCATCAAAATCTTTTTTACAAAATTATTTAATTACAAAAAATAAAAAAAGGTAAAAATATTTTAATCAATAATATAAATTTGACCCTATTAATAAAAATAAAAGATATAAAAATATTTATTAAATGTAAACGGGAAAAAAAGAAGAAAATAATTTTTAAAAAATGAAAAAAAAAGTGAAAAAAATGAATTGGTAAGCAGCATTAATAATGATAAGTTTTTTTTGAAAAATTTATAAAATGATTTTTTAAAAAACAAAAAAAAAGATAAAAAAAATTCAAATGTGATGTAAATGCCTTTGTTAATATCTATTTCTTAAAAAATTATCAAATTAAAAAAAGAAAAGGTAACTAAAAATATTTTTTTTAAAAAAATGCAAATAAAAAAATCAAATGGCTTCACACATGACATACCTTTCATATTTATTAAAATCACTCTATTTTAGGAATAAAAATTTTAAATACTTTGGTTTGAGATGGTGATCATTTAACTAAGACTTTTTCACTAAAAGATACATGAAAGATGGTTTGCAAATTGGAAGACAATCCATAATCCATCAATTTCTAATTAAAGCTGAATATAAATGTTAGGGGTATTTTTAGGTTAAAAAGATAATATAGTCATTTTCTCTCATTAGAGATAGCTAGTAGACAACTAAGAGCAATTTCAACTTTTGGACTAAATTGATGTGTCAGGTTAACCTAAATTCATGAGGCCATATCAGCTCGATCATTTCACTAGTCTACTCACTAGGCCCCTTAGATCTTGACTTGTCATTTCGTGGCTGGGTAGTCAACATCCAACAAAGCTTGGCCTACTAGGTCATCCCTGACCCTAAGACTGGCCTCAGGTAGCCTAACTTGCCTAAAACCCCTATCTTACAAGTATAAATAGCACATTCTATGTACTATTTAGTCCATCTTGTTTTTTTATATTTTTTTACATTTTCCTTCCTATACTTCCTTAATCGATCTTTAACTTGAGCGTCGAAACACAAACGTTAAGACTACTGCAAGCTTTTGTCCTTAACTATTCTTTTCTTCTCCTTTCTAATTTCAAGGTTTTACCCTTAGGAGATAGCTCAATGCAAACATTTGACCCTTCAAGTATGGGCATTTTTTATTTGGTTGAGCTAAAGCAATATCTACCAAGAAAGAGAGTCGTTGAAGAAAAGCCAATAACAGTAGCTAGGACAAAAACCCAAACTAGCCAACCCACAGACCGACCTACTACTACAAGCTCGATAATGGAACAATTTCTAGCTTTGAATCAATAATTATAATCCTTTAAAAAGATGATTCAAAACCTCACCCCACCATAAATATCCAAAGTGCTTGATCTAATCATTTTAAAAAATCTACATGTAAAAAAGCTACCTAGCTACGATAATACTAAAGCTTCTTTGGCTTTAAGGGATGAGAAACACATTACTTTAGCTACCCATTACCAAACCCATACCTCAACATAGATCATTTTAGAGCTTTAACCAAACAAAGATTTAGAAGCTTGAATGCAGGTCATGGAAAAGGAATTGAAAAAAAAGGTTTTCACATTTGATGATGAGTTAAAATTTTCTCGATTATATGATTAACCAAAAGGAGATAAAGGTAAATCTTAAAAAGGTGCAAGCCATCATTGATATGAAAACATGAACCTATAGTAAATGAAGTGCAGTGGTTAACTAGTAAAATTATTGCCTTAAGCAAATTTATGTTTAGAGCGATAGATCGGTGCCTACCATTGTTCAAAAATTTCAAGAACATTTCAGATTTTAGATGGACACTTCAGTGTTAGAAAGCTTTTAGAAGACTTAAACAGTTCTTTTCCTATTCACTTATTTTATCTAAATCAAAGCCTGGTGAGGTGCTGTACTTGTATATTACTATAACTGACTAAGCTATTAGCTTAGTATTAGTCTGAAAAAAAGAAAAGAAGGTAGAGACTAGTATATTTTATGAGCAAGGTATTGACAGGGTTCGAGATAAACAATTTTATAATAGAGAAATTGGATTACGTTGTTATGACATCAGCCAAAAAGTTTAGGCCGTACTTTCAAGCTCATACAATCAATGTTCTAACTAATTAACGATTTAAGTAAATTCTACAAAAGCCTAAAGCTGTTTGGAAGGTTGATCAAATGGGCATTTTTAGGTCCAAAAAGCAAAATAGTTGTTTCCCCACATTTGAGACAACTAGTCGACAACTAAGGGCATTTTTGACTTTGGATGAAGTTGACATGCTATATCGACTTGAATTCATGGGATTATGTTAGTTCGGCCACCTTATCAGTCTACTCACTAGGCCTTTTAGATGTTGACTTGTCATTCTATGGTTGGTGGTCAACTTCTAACTCAACTCAGCCCAATAAGTCATCCTTTATCCTAGGACTGGCCTCAAACAATCTAGCCTACCTAAACCCCAACCTTTTAAGTATAAATAACACCTTTCAGGTACCACTTAATCCATTTTATTTTTTTATACTTTTTTACATTTTTCTTCTTATATTTCTTTAACTAATCTCTAACTTGAGCGTTATAATATAAACATTAGAATCACTTACAATCTGTGTTTTTAACTGCTATCTTTCTTTCTTTTTTGATTTCAGGATTTTACCCTTAAAAAACAGCTCGGTGCAAATAGTAAGCTTGGTTTCAAAATTCAATTGATCGACTAATCGCAATACCTGAACACTCAGATCTAGCATTTTTAGAGAAGGTTATCATTAGAGATCATGTATCCCACAACTCTGTGTGGAAGATGTAGTTTAGTTTTTCACTATGAATCAGAATTTTGATATTTTATGAATGATTAAAAAAAAAAACTTTGTAAAAGCACAATGTAAATTGTTCTAAGTAATGCTTCGGATTGACTGCACATTTTTCTGTCTCTCCACTTTTGGTGCCATCTTTGAAGCAGTGGATGATAAAAATGATGATGATGATCTCTCCATTTATGTAGACTGAAGACCCCACGTTGTTACTGACATTTTGACGCTGGTGCTTTGTGGAGTAGTTCCATCTTAATCCCAATTTTTTCTACGAGAGAGAGAGGGAAACAGTGATTTGAGTGAAACTCAAGGATGGGGCCAAGCTTTGAGATGAGCCCATACTTATACAGGGTTCTACATGAAAAGGAGGAAATGAAAAGTAGGGGCAGTTACATTTTAGCTTCTTGTTTCGGTCAATACCAAAGGCTTTGGTATCTCCCAAACAGCGGCCAATTTTGATCTCTTCAGCCCAGAATATAATAATACATGGATAAAGTTACTGTCTTCCCAACCACACCATATGATCCTTGGAATGGGTAAACAAATTAGTCAAAAAAAGAAGTTCAGTGGGTTTTTAAAGCCCATACTGACCTTGAAGTTGGTTTTAAGAGGTATTCAATCCAAAAACTTAGTGATAGTGAGAGAATCTGAATAAACTTGATCTGTTTTGCTTGACATCAAGTTTACTAGAAATGGCATTTTACCTGTGACCAAATTCATCTGTATTCTCTAAAAACTAAATGGGAAATAATTTTTCTTCACCGGCCTATTCCTTGATGATATATATATATATATATATATATATTCCTATATAAACAATCTTGTGCTACTTAAATTAATTTTGTAAAATTGCAAAGCAAAAGCTTACTGAAGAGAAAATAGTTTGCAAGAAATCTATGGAGTATCTCGTTGTGGCGTTGATACGCAAGGATTTTGCATTAGCCAATCGGATTCGGAGATTGATGTTCTTGGTATATTATATATATGGTGAAATCAATAAATCGATTAGTCTATTCAATAAAATGTAAATTGATCTTTTAAATTAATTCGTTCTTTTGTTTCTCTTTGTTTCTTGCTCCTCTTTTTGCATGTATATATTATGTTTTATAAGTGAATTTTAGATTGACATGGATTATTGGAACCCATTCTGAGCAATTTATTAATTTTAGCATCATTTTTAAGTTTAAAAAAAAAAATGAAGGTTCCTAGAAAATATTGGAGCGATGAGGTCCAGAGATCGTACGATTACAACTGCGATACTTGTGAGATGACTGAGCGAGAAAGCTAATGGATTCCAAACTCAAAATGTCACTACACTTCGGCCTTTTAGGGGCAGAGGGTTAATATGTTGGAAGTATTGTCATTTTGTTTTTACCTAAAGGCCGATTGAAAATGCTCAAGATGACTGAGCGAGAATGATAATAAATTTGTTTGGGTTTGGAATTTTTTTGGATTTGTTGAGTGAGTTTGATTGAACGCTAATGATTTGTTGATATGATCATGAATTTCTTTCTCTTGAACCAATAAAACGTGGATGATTTTTTATTCAATTATACCTCTATTTACTTGGATGGCTTGGCCTAAGTCCTAACATTAACTGTATTAATTAACTATCTATTCAATTATATACAAATGAAATGCAAATGCAAATCCAACTTAAACACAATTAGATCGCATAAGCAACATCTGTGTCCTGTTTGAATCAAAGGGCTTTTCAACCACAGCTTATTGAACTTTTAGAACGGCGTTTGCGGTCTAAAACCACTTTTTCAAAAACATAATGCCAAAGATGCCAAATCGTTGTTATATAGCCACAAGTTTTGGTGTTTTAACTGCGAGATTCAAGGATCAACATTTTGACATAAAAGCACATAGAAACTTTGTTTTTCCTTTGCTTTGTAGTGTATTGATTGTGCAGTCTGTAGGACTTCTCTTAAAAATAACTGATCATCATCTATCGCTTCTCAAATATAATTCGGGGAATTCCGTGATTTCTAATATTAGCTAGGTTCCGTTGTGATTTGTAAAGTTAGTTCAACCCTGATATGTCCCTGTACTTAAAACATAGACAATGGTTGCCAAATGCAAGAAACAAAAAGAAAAGACATATATGGGTTATTACACGAAAAAGTCATTGATTCAGGAGAAAGCAGCAAAAATATACATACATAAAAGCAAGCAATTCTCAAAATTCTTTTCATTACTTAAATAATGATAAAGTAATTCCTCTCATACATGTTTGTAAGCTTATATACAGGACAAGAACCCATATATGGAAAGTCCAGCACTATGCCTCTGTGCTAGTTCTCTCAGAGCTCAAATCTTCTTTTGACTGACCAAAGGTTGGTACTCAATGTGTCAATGGTTTACTCGAAGGATATTTCTTGTAATCAATCGATCAGTTATGGCTCAGTTGGGATTCCAACAACTCAAGTACATGACTTTCCTTAGAGACTCTTCTGATTGTTTAGACTTTTCTTCCCGGCTCACTCCATTTGAAATTGCAGCTGAGGATTGAGAAGAGAGCTTCCTGGCCTGTGAAGCTGATCTGACATGGTTCTTGGCATGCTGGAGAGCTGACCTAACAACATAGTTCCATCTGCAAATACCTTGATCTTTCAGTGCCTCCACAGCTCCAATACTAGCTGCCACAATCCACGCTCTGCTAGTTGAACTCATCTTGGAAATACTCAATTTAATAACCTATTGCACACTCTCTGAGTCTTCAAATATATAAGAGAGAAATGGGTCCGAAGATTTTGCGCTTTTGTCGATGGATACGTGGTGTGAAGCTGCTTATTATTATATATCGGATAGGGAGGAATGGGGATGATTATTGTTAGATGGATCAGAAAAGTTTGGGGGAGGAAACCACTGTCGCTCGTGGTTTTGACGGCAGGCAATTGGCAATGGTTTTCTATTTTTTTAGGTAGGACGCCTTTGTAACAATATGACTTGAATGTCCAAAAAAGTATATAATAATATCATTTGATGACATCAATTAGATGATGGGCAAAAATGGAATTTAAGATCATATTCCATTGTGGATAATAAAATAAGATAAAGATTTAGATAAAATTTTTTAAATGAAATTCATAAAATTTTTATTAGAAATAATTAACTAAAAATTAAATTAAATCAATAGATTAAAATTTTTTTTATATAAATCAAGTGTACAAAATTTTAAAAAAAATAATAAATTTTGATATATATTTTAAATAAATATTTTAATAAAAATATTAATAAAATTTTTATAATTAAATAAGTATTATCCAATTTAAATTGTAAGTAAAATTTTTAATAATTTTCTATATATTATTAATTTTTAAATTAAAATTTATCAATTTTTAATTTAAAATTTTTATTAAATTATTTTTTTAAAAAATTATAAATTTTATGCAAAAAGTTTTATATAAAATTTATCTAATAAATTAATGGTAGTGGGCACACGGTTTTTCCTTAATAAATTCCATTTCAGGCTGGAACATGGGAATCCTAAAGTCCGAAGTCCAAACCACCTGTTTTGTCAATGGTTGGGCACTCGGAATTGCGATACAGCCTTCAAATTTCAAGGTAAGAGCGTCTTATTTTGTTGCAGTTGGGCAAACTTCTCGCCACGTGCCGAATTTTCAATGCTTACAACTATTATAAGCTAGTACGTGTTACCTGATTCTGTAACCCACGTTGCAGTTTGCTCTGCTAACATAGTAACATTCATGCAAATAAAATAGAATTACATTATTATCAGGCATTTATCTTTTTTTTTTAACATAAAATTTAATTCAATTAATTTATCTAATTATTTTTAAAAATTATATTCAATAATAATTATAATTTAAATTTTAACATTTACAATTCATACTCCTATATTTAATTGCAGTTTTATATGTACGTGTATAAAAAAATTAAAAATTTTGAAATAAAAAAAATACGGATGAGTGAAGTATTGCTTTTAATTGTTTTAGACAAGTACTAGTCTCTCAATCTCATTCTGAATGTGTTTGTTTGGTTTTCATAAAATTTAAGAAAAAAATTATTAAAGTTTAGAATTTTTTATAATTAAGTTTCATGACTTTTAATATTAAAAAAATTAAAATTAAAGAATTTTAGACATTAAAAATGAAAAATAACATAAGTATTAAAAAATAAACAAAAAAAATTAAACCACAAGAAAAATTATAATATATGATTTTGTTATTATTATTATTATTATTATTATTATTATTATTATATAAGAGGATGTAGTAAAGGATTAGAGAAAAGAATTACGAATGTTGAAATTTAAATAAAAATTTAATAGATATTATAAGAATAAAAATAAAAAATTATAAATATTAAAATTTGAATAAAAATTACGTGTTAAAAGCTGTTACAAATATTTAGATAAAATAAAATAAGCAAATCAGGTTTTTTATCTAAGGCCAAATTGAAACCTGATTTGCTAATTTCAATTTGGTGGTAATCGTCTTTTTAACACTGACCTTGACAATCAAATTTAACAGAAATAAAACCGAAAGGTTAGTTCTTGTTGTGAAAGAATTGAAGATTCTAGAATTGGACCTGTGTTTCGGTGTGAGATTATTTTTTTATTTTTTTTAAATTATGTTTTAAAAATATGAGAAGAAAATTTTTTATGTAAAGTTTTAATAAATGATAATATATAAATTAATATAAGTGTATTTATTTTTTAATATAAATTATAATTTAATTATAAATAATTAAATAATAAATATATTTTTTTATTAAATTAAAATATTAAATGATATTTTTATTAATATCATATATATATTAAATAAATAATTAAATATATTTTTTTATATATCTCGAAAAGAGTTAGACAAAGTACCTTAAATCTAGTCACGATTTGATCTAAATTATTCAAAGAGATAAAACTTAAACTAATCTTTATTTTTTTAAAAAAATTGCATTAATTGGAGTATGACAACTCGAAATATATTAGATATAAATTATTTTGTCATCCTTAGATTCATTATCTTTTTTTTTTTTTTACAAAATTTATTTGAATAAATAAAATTTAAAAAAAAATAAAAAAATGACAAAAAAGGCCAAATGGGTTGCATGTGAATTTCTTAATATGTTAAATAATTTTTTAAAATAAAATACTTATCTAAATATAGAATTAAATATATAATAAAAAATATATTTTTATATATATTAAGATCGATGTGTAACATCCAAAACCTTACTTTTATTCAAGTTTGATTTAAAAAAAAAAAAAAAAACTCAATCCAATTATCTCAAATTAAAAAAAAATGCAATAATTGGATTGGAACGAATCAAAATCTATCTGATACGAGTTATTTGTCATCTATATCTCAATTGATTTTTTTATTACAAAATTTATTTAATAAGAAAAGTAAAAAAAAATTTTAAAACAAAACCTTTAAAAAACAAAAAGAAAAAAATTGCAAAAAGAAAAGGAAGGAGGTGTCACATAAACATTCGAAACAGAATGAAAAACTTTAAATTGAAAGTACTTATGTATGATACTCACCTATGTCTAAAAAACACATATGATATGAAAATTCTATTGATAGTTTAAAATGTGGTACATCTCATAATGAATAGAAAGATTTAATTATTGATGAATAAAATTAATTTTTATATTAATTTTATTCATATTTTAAATAATTATGTTTAAATAAAAATAATTATCATATGACAAATTGTCATAACTATTTAACTATAAATAGATTATTGTTTATAAAGGTCATGATTATATAAAATATCATAATAATTTCAATAGAAGTTTATATCCGTTTTTTCATTATAAATAGATCTCTCAGTATAACAATTTTATTACTTCTACTTGGAGATTTTTTAGATTTTGTTATATCTTAGAGGTATAATTGTCTTTAAAAAAGTGTATTTCACCTTCAAAGCAAAAATTCTTTTCTATTGTTTCTTTTCTCTTATTTATTTTTTCTAACAATTTAAAAGTAATTATGAATAAATTTTTATATTTCATATTTATAGAGATGCAAGAGAAAGAAATTTAGAAATGCATTGGTGAAATCTGAATTCTTAAAATAATTATGGACAAAGAGAAATAATTCTTTATCATGATGTCAGATAAGTTTTTCTTTTATTTTTATTCAAAATTAGTATGTCATTAATTCAATATTTAATTTTGTTGCATGAATCCAATTTCATAATTGTTTTTCATATTACTTGGGTTTTTGGAATTTATTAATTGTGCATTCCAAAAGTTTCACTAAAATGGATTTTTCCAACTTGTTGCTAATAGTAGTATGATATTAATAAGGTGAATATATTGGCATTATTTATTTGTGACATTTTATGTCACTATTTCAAACCAAAAGTTTTGCTAACAAATTGAGTTAAAAGTAATATTCAAGTTTAAATGGAAAGGCACATCATTAAAAACATTAAAGGCTATTGCTAATTACCGATAATTTGAAGGCAATCCACCAATGTTTTATTAGCCATGTTTATAGATTTGAAAAGTTTTATTTTGGAATGTCAAGAAGAAGATAACATGGTTTGCAATTAAAACAATTTAAATAAAGTTTGTTTTAATGCAAATAGAGTTGTAAATAATTGTAAGGATTTATGGCATTGTTGTGCATAGATTAATTAAAAAAGGAAAAATGAACAAATCTCCAATGGTTTTTATAATTTCATGGCAAAGATGTGTAATGGTTATTCATCCTTAATGTGTAGATTTGATAATAATGTTCATTTACAATAGCCTTAATCCTTGGAATTGATCACTAAATGAATTATCCATGAAGAAGATGGTATGAATCTTAAATGAATAATGCTTTTGATAAGTTTGAGAATTATTTATTTAAATAATACACAAATAATTTTTCTTAGTGGTCTATGCATAAAGGTGAGATTTGTTTAATTTTATTTGATAATAATTATGGCTTGTAAAAACGATCTGCATATCATGATTTTAGTTTTGAGATATAGTGAAAGTATAAAATTATATTTACTTTAAAAGCCATGGGTGATTCAAAGATTTGTGAATATATAAAAAAAAATTAAATAGTAAGATAAATGTTATTTGACCCATTTTGGTAATGGACATGGTTTTGCTCATGGTAATAAATTGGTGAATGGTGTCCATGACGAAATAGATTCATAAGTTTCCATAAGTTGACATGAAAGTTTCAAAAAAAAAAAAAACCTATAGAAAGCATGAGTATACTTAAAATTTTTTTTTTAAGAGTGATTATATTTGACATAATTCTTGTTGATGTATACTCTCATATTAAGTTGAAATAAAAGTTTTGAAACTTTTACGAAAAAAAAATATTAACATAAAATATTTACTACCTATCTTTCACTACGGGTGGATTTGGAGGCTTTTTACTTGAACTAAAAAAGATCACCAAATAATGAAAAGATAAATAAAATGACAACTTGATTATATGATATCTTGATAATTTAATGAGACATTCTTTAATAAAAAACTTCAAATTTGCACATGGTGAGGGTAATAAGAATCAAAAGAAATAAAAATTGTCACCATAGTGTTGTAAGATTTTAATATAATTTTATAGGCAAATTATATAAGCTAATAAGTTAGTACAACTTATTAAAGTAAAATCATAAAAGGTTCTTAAATATCTTAAGAGGATTAAAATATCTTGATTTATTCATTAAGTTTATCCAATTATACTAGAAGAATAATTGTATTAAAATAGATAAAAGTGTAGAAATAGAATGGTTAAAATTTTATATTAATGAGTATAGAGTTGTGGCTACAACCTATACCAACTATTTCTTAAAATGATAAGAATGAGACAATAATGTTTAGAGCATATAAATGATATGCAAAATG